TTGTAAAGCAAACGCTTTGGCTTCCAACTTATTAAAACTATAATTAATGATCAAGATTGTCTATAATTTTATTGAAACTATTATGGACAAATACAAAGCCCTCATCTTGTACTTCAGCCACCGTGTGTTTACCAGACCGTAATGATACTAATTTTGAATGTGTATTTTTTCTCTTCACCTAAAATAGTGTCATGAATCTCGGTGACACTAATTCGTGTATGACACTAATTATGAGCATACACTAATTGCGGTGAGTACTGAAGTATATTATTGTCCCAATAAAAGAACTTATTCTTGAAATCCAATTTTTAAACTGGATCGCAATTTTTAAAAGTGAATTGTACATTTTTAATTTATTTAAACATATTTATTGGATTATTATTCAATATCACAATGGTGGCACTGGCACTAGAAATAGCATAAAGAACTGCGAATTTCACCAAACCAAGTTTTATTCTGCTCATTTTGTTACAGTTATCTACAGTACGCGTCCACGAGCAGCATCAATCGAGTTCAACACTAACTAAAACAAATCAGTTTTGGCAAAGCCATATATGTCTCACAGCCACGTGAACGAAAGCAGGGTGTGCTTCCATCAACTGTTGTCCTCATAATTTTGGTATGCAGTAAGCAGTTCCTTAGTTCGTACGAAAGGCACCAAGAATGCTCAAATTCATCGGACCTTCGTCGGTTCCAACCAGTTAGCTTCGTGAGCCACCATGATTATCAAATTTCAAAAGTGTAACCCCCGTTTTGCAAAAAGCGCACCAGAGATATCCTTTCCATTTCCTAGGCAGGTTTGAGCTCGTGGACGCATTCTGCCACTTGCTATCGTTACTGTTTGAACGCATTTATCTTCCCATAAGGTGATACTATTATCCTGGCATCCATGGATTCAGTTGACATTGCAGGCCAGAAAAACGAAGAATAGTGTAGCAGCCATCCCACGATTCGCAATATGCGAGTCAAGCCTACGGGCTTGTCACTTGCTGCGCCTGAACCCTTAACGGGAATGAAGACTCGTAAAGTTATAGTTACTCGATTTAATCCCCCTACTTGCTTGTTTACTGATATTATCAACTGAATTCACAGACCACTTACCTTTTCTATCGTAATAATTTCTCTATGAAGAACATCTCCAATATATGTTAATTAACTTCTGCGGGGGGCGATCTTGTAACAACTTCAAGGAGTCCTAAATACGGCTCGCTGATTTTTTATTCCGGGACTCGTCGTGTCCCATTGCGGGATTTGCGCACTTCCCGAGCATAACGACCGCCATGGAGCCTGTACGGCTCGAGCGCCAACAGCAGGTACCTGCCGACCACCGCGCGGAGCCTGCGCTCACACCCGAGGATCAACTGGCTGCGCCGCTCGCCGCTGTGAAACTCGCAGAGAGCGGCGATTTCCCGCGGCTTTTGGTAGCGTTAGCGTTACGACCGCGACTGGCGAGAGCTGCCGATGCCTTTGGCATGACGGCACTCCACTGGGTGTGCAGCGATCCCAAGGTGCCTCCACGCGTAGTTCTCACTGTGGCTCGTGCTCACCCTGCAGCTGCCGCCACGCGTAACCTGGCGGGTTTGTTGCCACTACACTTGGCAGTCAGAAAGAGCCTCGCCTTGGAGGCCATCCAGGCGCTGCTGCACGTCTACCCCAAGGCTATTGGGGTACGAACTCCGGACGGCAAGACGCCACTCATGCTGGCCAAGCAGCGACCTGTGGCGTCGAGCGCCGTGCTCTCTCTGTTAAAAGTACTGGAAGCTCATGCGAGGACAGGCTCGCCGTCCACGACGATGCTACCGACGTCGCAGTGGCCGGAAACTAAACCGGAACAGGAGCATCAACCACAGCAGGGTGAGGAACGTACAGAAGCCACGATATCCGACCGATTTAGTACCTCTAGATCTGTGACACAGGAGGAGACCATCGCTGCGATGATGGCGCCACATGCACCACCTCCAAGATGGGCACTGGCCTCGAGATGCAGACTTTGTGCTGCAAAGTTTGGATACTTTAGACAGAGACATCACTGCAGAAGTTGCGGGGCGTCAGTCTGTGGTCGCCACTCGAGGCATCGAGTGCCTCTTAAGCACCTTGGACTCTTTCAGCCTCAAAGAGTCTGTGCGTGCTGCTTTGACGATCTGCAAAAACAACTAAACGTGCGTGCATTGGAGCGCGTAACCCGTACTGGAGGAGCGTATCCGTACATTGACAATGGGGACTCGAACAGTTTCTATTCCAACAACTCAATGAATCTCCAGACTCGCTACCGACGACGTAGCAAGTCTGTCTTCAGCGAGCCAACGCAGCGTCACGGACCGGTTGACTGGGAATATTGTCATGACAACAATAGCGAGACCAGTGCAAAAGGCTTCACGCCTGTCTCGGCCCCGTGGAATTATAGCATGACAGCGTCCGAAGCTGTGGAATCACTGCAGCCCAGTATGGGCTCCATGTTTCTATCGGTTGCACCGGCACAACCGACGGTGTTAGAGCGCCAACGTATGTTACGAGAGCAGCAAGGACACTCGATGGAATCCGAGCCGAGCATACGGAGGAGCCGACAACGGCGATCAAGACCACACTCGTCGGCATTAGACAGATCATTACATGTACAGCGGATGTCTGAGGTGGACTCAGTGTGTTCAAGTGATGAACAGGAGTTGGAACAGCGAATGCAGCAGCTCCTGGAAGCTAAACGCGAGCTTGGAGATGCCATGCGTCGAAGTGAGGAAGAAATTGCACGAGCAGAACGCGAGAAACGCGATCTAGACTCCCTGGTTGATAGGTACAGGGACAGTGGATACTCTAGCCCACCAGAGTACGAGGATGAGGACGAGGAAGCAGAAATCGCAGCCACACTGGCCTTTTTTAATGCTGGCAGACGGATGAGCAGCACTGCAGAACTGATGGAGGATATGGAGCCTCCACTCGATGTGGCAGCCACACACCACGAGTTGGGCGAAGCTCTGCTTAGTAAAGGGGACTTTGCTGGCGCTGTAGTGGAATTACAGTGTAGCGTGGAGCTGGACGCCACTAATGCCGCTGCTTGGCTTCATTTGGCTAAAGCTCTGGATGGTGTTGGTGAGGACAGTGAGGCAGCAGAGGAGGCAGTACGCAGAGCGTTAGAGCTGGAGCCAGCATCTATCGGAGCGCTATCCCTCTTAGGCAAATTGTTGCATTTACGTGGTGACCATGACGACGCCATTCTAGTGTTTCGGCAAGCGCTGGAGTTGCAATGCCCAACTGGAAGCCTTTCTGGTCGTGCAGAGGAATCTGAAGCTGAGCCACAAAGCGTGACAATGTAGACAAGCACATTTACATGTATACCGAAGCTAATTTGACTAAATATCGTTTAAATCCTTACCTCGTGTCTGGCTTAGTATTTCGTGCCGAAGGTGGAGTTGATGAACGCGAGGCTAAGAGTTAAATCAACCTGATTTACCCGGATTGTAGCCTTTTTTGTGGATTGTTGCGGTGTTGATGAAGGCGAGAGCTTCGTCAAGCGAACGACGAGGTTGTTGTCACGAGCTGCATCCTGGAATTGCATCTGCATTCGCCTTGTCGTCCCACCAAGAGAGCTAACAGACAAATCGATATTGTCAGCGTCTTCGTCCTGTTGCTGTGGTGATGCCGCCTTCAGCTCTAAGAGACGGCTGAATGCCCACGCAGGAACGCACTCAGCATCCCAGAGCGTGAAATCCACCGCCAAGCAGTTATCCATGGCGTATTTCACTGCCTCCGTCTCCAGTCTAAAAGCTGGTTCAGTATCCGAGGTGAGAACTCGGTCTCGAGCGGCGACAGTGCCCCCATGAATATTATCCAGCAACTGGACGCTCACACTGCGGGCTCCATTTTCCGGCATAAGAAACTCGACATGATACACTTCGCACTCCCAATAGAGTTCGTCCAGCGAACGCAAACTGATTGCTGCTGTATACGAGTGGAGCCCGTGTGTGCGGTCCAAGTCATCGTCGCTCCTCTGCAGTGCTCTTGGCGGGGCAGAATGCAGCAACTCGGTCGTGTTCAGCTGCAAGAAAAATCGAGCCACTTCACGGTTTAGGGCCCATACAAGTGCAATGAGCGAACTTGCACCCCAGTCTCCAAGTGTGAGTTCAAACAACGCTAGTCCAATGCGACGATCCGTCTCCGCTACAAGTTTCCAGGCTTTAGTGGTCAAAGGTTCACTGCAAGCGAGAGGGAGACAGCGAGACGTGTGCATTGCAGTCGACGTGAGAATGACACTTACGTTCTCTAAGGACGACAAATTTAGTTCTGGATTTGAGTTTGTGTACTGCAAGCTCAGTCCATATCGAAATCTCCCTTCTTCCGGCTGGAAGCGCCATGCCGCCGTAGTCGAAGTAGGGCGTCTGCTCCGCTGTGACGCTGCAGCAGCGATTGTGGGAGCTGGAGGCGCCTTAAATAGTAGTTCCTCACCATTAACAAACAATCTGGGTGTAACTCGCATCGTCGTCATCAGCTTCGCCATCGACTGCACTAGTGACTGCGGCTGGAGGCGTCGGAATAGCTCGTCCACCTTCCGCTTGACCACCATCGCCGACGATGCGGAGGAGCGTGTTGGCAGTGACGATGAAGCCGAAACTGGCGTCTTCAGATTCGTTGCTGCAACAGTAGAAGCTTCTCTTCGCTTACTGACGGACTGGTTACTAGCAGCATCGTCACCGCGAAGGAGACGCATCGATTGCTGTGGATACTTCCGCATCGGTGCATGACCAAAAGTGCTTCAACGCCCATGCACACCAACTGTACACCAGTCGGTATATAGCTGTGTAGGCTGCTGTCACCATTCTTTGGACACCGACCAGCTATATGGTGCAAACATTGAATCACGCATTCCAGGAGGCGATGTCCGCGTTTCCTGCTGGCAAGTATGTGCGATACAAGCGTGCCACGGCCTTCTTCTTGGACTGGCTGCTGCGCGCGCGCGGTCGGGGGCGACATGCAGGCCAGCGTGTGGAGCTAGAGACGCTCAGCGACGTGGTGAAGGAGATAGCAGCGTCTCCCTCTACACTAACACCGAAGTTGCTGCAAGAGCTGCCCAAAGCTCTGGCAGCCTGTCAATGTTCCATCACGTTACGGGAACACGTGGCCACGTTCTTCCCAGAGGACGACAGGGCTCAGCGAGGCCATCAGTACTTCCTCGGGCTGCTAAAAGACTGGCACATGACGCTGAAAGACTTAGGGAAACCAGAAGCTGCAGTCGAGACGGAGAGCACGAGGTTTGAAAACTACTACGAGGTGCTACAAGTAGATGAAGACTATTTCCCTGATGAAGAGACGTTAATGGCGGAACTGGGGGCGCCGAAGAGTGCCAAGACAGACAGGAAGTGGCTGTTTGACGAGGCTTTTGCTGAAGATCTGAGATTGGAGGTGGTGTACTTCTTCTTGGAGCTGGAGGAGCTCGTGGAAGGAGTGTTTACTGTGTACGACCAAGTGAAGAAACAGCAACGCACAATGGTAGAGGCCGCCGTAGTGGTCAAGCTAGCCATGGAAGGTGCTAGTGCGTTGACAGCGAGGCTACAATTGAAGTACCCGGCACTTCAGACGGCTGAAGATGTGTTTAACATCGTTGCAAGTAGTATCCCATTGAACGTGAGGATGCAGATGACTGAGGAAGTTGCTAAGTTTTGGGACAGCTTCCAAAGAAACGGAACGTATCGCTTTGTCCCGGGGATGCTGGTCGTGGACTTCATGAGTGTGGCCAGCACGTTGTCTAGCTTCACCACTGCGATCCCCAAGTCAGCACGACAAACAATGATCCTTCGGGATGGCTACTTTGGTCCGACCTACGGTGAAGAACGCACGCCACAGTACGTGCTGCCGGATCCAAGCAACATGGTGGTCTTCTTGATGCAGCAACTTCCGCATCTGTACAATACCGTCATTGAGAAGAAAGCTGCTACTGGGACTGGGTATGACCCGTCAGGGTTTACGGGATCTTTCATGGCTCAAATGGATGAATACTTCACGTCACGCAAGGTCACGGTCCCCATGGTGTTTACGTGCATCTGCTGGCTGAAATCCGTCGCAGCTCTACAGGGTAATGCAGGACTCAGTCGCAACGTGAGTCTCACGTTTACTCACTCGACGAAGCTAAGGAGAAACCTAGAGGCGACGTATGCGAAGGGTGCGGTCCACGCTAACGATCAGGAGATTCACGGACTACTGAAATATTGTTCAGACGAGATCAAACGCTCGGTTCCTAGTCGCACCTTGGCTCGTGCGAATCCATTGCTGGCGGGTCTGATGATGTTGGGCCACCAGTTCCAATACCTGAATTTGGGAGGCGAAGTCATAATGGTGACCTCGAGATTCCGTGCGTTCGGGCACCTGTACAATGCTCTAGTGCAGCAAGGATATCTCCAGCACATCCCTTTTTTCGACGAGGTGTTGAAGATATACGACCAGATGGTCTTTACTCCGTCACGTGCGGCAGCAGTGCACGGTTCGTACAATCGCACCTACCTACTTAGCTCGCATATGACTGCGACAGCGGTCAATAAATTGTACCGTGGCGCGCCGCCACCTGCCGCTGGTGAAGGGATCAAAGTGCGGAAGGCTCTCCACATGATCGACTTGTCCAAGATCTATCGGTTGCTGATTGAAAATGATAAAACGGTTTTGGGAGGGGCTTCGTCGAAGGCTATGCTGGCCAAAGCCGCAGATATTTGCTCGAAAGAACTCTTCCAGACTCGAGTTCTATCACGAGATATCCTGAAGCTCAACGATGACCTTACCGATGCGTTTTCCGAGATGTGTGACAGACTGGGTCGTCGACAGTATCACGATGACTATATAGCAAGCCCATCGCCTGGAGAATCACGGCAGTATCGTATCAACCGCGCTTTAGAAGACTCCGTGATGATGAACTTGATGCCACTCCTGGATTGTCTCCAAAGCGATGGCTCGTTGAACTTGACGGCCCTTCCTATCGGAAACCGCGTAGTTCAGACAGGAAGGCTGGATGGCGACGGCGTCAAGGCAATGTGCAGGAAGACTGCTGCAGTGATCAAAGCCAAATTCGCGACGCCATCGTTGGTCTGTAACCACAAATACTTCACGTTCTCAGCAAGACCGGATTTTATCAACCAAGAATACGGTACCAAGTCATTTAAAACGCGTACCGAGCGTCAGAACCGCGAGGATGTATTCTGCGAGTTAATGGATTTGCTCGAAGACACTGATGGCCCACTTTCGGAAAGTGATCTGAACAAGCTGAAGTCGGAGATCCGGAAAGACCCAGAGCTCCTGAACATGCTGTCACTTCGTTCCATGACATTTACTGATCCCAACACATTCGACCCACACAACCTCGCCAATGCGCCGCGTGACGACTTATCTACGCTCTTCCATCTAGCTGCAGCAGGGCCTGTACATGACGCTGATCTTGTCGAATGGATGATTCAAATGGGAGCACTAAGTCTTCAGCCGACGCTACACTGCCGGATTGAGCCTCGCCAGAGCAGCTTGAGATGCTCTCGTGACGATCTATGCAGAACTATGGCTGTTCATAGTGCAGCGATTTCGGGTCACGAAGATATCGTACGGATCATTCTGGAAGCGGATAATATGATCGACTTGAATACTCCCACGTTCGACACGAAAGAAACGCTTGTGCACTTGGCTGTGAAGCATGGACATCGCAACTTATATCGCATACTTGCTGGATTTGGGGCAGATTTGCGTATCAAAGATCGCAGTGGTAAAAGCGTTTGTGATATGACAACCGACAGAGCGTGGGCAAATGACATTGCGAATTCAACCGCTACACTTGAACGGAGCCAGGTAAAAACGGAGGGAGCGAAAAATCGCGACGCACAGTTCCGTCACGAGGGATCTCTACGTGCGGATCGTTTGCGTCAGTCAGTATCGGCCCAGCGAGACGAGGAACGCCGACGAGCGTTTGCCAACGCCAGTAAGAATACTGCCGACGGGTCCAAGAAGAAGAGCACGAAGAAGGGCAAGAAAGGAAAGAAGGGCAAGGCAAAGGACAGTGTACCAAGCGTATCTACATTCTCTCTAGCTGCGCCCGAAGCCAACTCGGAGGAAGTGTCAAACTTACTGAAGGATTTGTTGGTGTCTACACATACTGAAGTCGACACAAACGACAATTTTTCTGCGCGGATTACATTGCTGGAAGACTCGATTGAGAATATTGGAACTATGTTTGCTCGACTGCGCGACCCCAACATCTCCAGCGACGACAAAGTCGACGATGCACAACGTGCTTGCACAGCAATTGAGACGCTGGAGCAGGTCGTTGAGATGTTCTCCCACCCCAGCCGACTGCATTCTATGGATCGTCAACTGCGTACCGTGGTCGCCTTTGAAGCCCAGCAAGTTATCCACATGATGCAAAAGCTGCATCGAGTTGACCATGCTGGCCTCGCAGTCCCTGCTCTCGATGTTGTGCGAAAGCTCTGCGATACGACGTTTGCGTTCACCAAATTTGTAGTAGGCGCAGCTCATTTGTGCGTTTCCGTCGATAAGAAGACGCAGGCTCGTGAGCTTTTGGACTTATTGGAGAAGCGTTTGGTGAAGATGCCTTATGACAAACGCGAGCCTGGAGGGTTCCGTGAACTAGTACAAACGTACTCGACAGCACGCGAAACTATGGGGATGGGACACACTTCCAGTCCTGACACGTTTCATGCTTTGGAATGGTATTTGATTTATGCTGTGGACAACTACGAGCTCCAAGTGACTTTGGACGGAATGGATGGTCGTCCGTTCTACTTCGAGTTTACGACCACTGCGAGTGCCCGACAGTTTGATGATTTCGAACGCGCAATCGATGCGAGGGCTGAGCTGGATGGCGTGGCATGTTTCGGCAAGCGCGCCAAGCACGTTGTCTACGGCGGTACCAGTGAAGAAGACGTGGCGAGAGTTCGTGAGCTTGTACTTGGTGTGGCGACTGCTACGGGGATCCGATTTGCTCTTCGCGGTTCCCAACTTTTGACGCTTAACATCCATGTGGGACAGTTTGTTTTTTCATCTGCTGGGATCGTTCGGGACGCTGCTGCGGCATGAAGAGGTGGCATCGAGAATAGCGTGGGTGAGTGACCGTATCGACGAAGCAACAGGCTACGTGTTTGTTCTTTGCAAGGTTGAAGGACGAGGTCGAATCATTTATCTGACGAATCAGAAGCATGATTGCTTTGTGCTGCCCCCCC